TTATTTACTTTTCTCTTTATTTTTCTCCCTGATTTTGCATTCCTCCTTCGTTCTTCTTTACTCCATTCCTCTATTCCTCCACCACTCACCTCCCTCCTGCCCTCCCTCACCTCTCCCTTCTGCCCTCCACATCCCTCCCTCCTGCCCTCACATCCCTCCCTCCTGCCCTCCCACTCACCTCTCCCTCCTGCCCTCCCTCCTCTCCCTCCTGCCTCGCTCCTCCCTCCTGCCCTCACTCATCCCTCCTCCTGCCCTCCACTCATCCCTCCTCCTGCCTCGCATCCCTCCAACCTCCTCCTTCCCTTCATTCGTCATCCTGACCCCATTGAGTTCAAATGACACGCGGCTCCTGCAACACGACACCTCCCTCACTCCACCACCATCTCTGACAATCCCTACCCCCCTCATCCCCCCATCACCACACCCTCCACCACCCTCCCTCCACCCCACCATCTCTCACCCCCCACACCTCCCTCACCCCACACCTCCCTCACCCCACCACCACCACCACCCTCATCCCACACCTTCCTCACCCCCACCACCACCCTCATCCCCACACCTCCTCACTCCCTCCATCTCCCTCATCCCCACACCTCCTCACCCCACCTGCCCCCACCATCATCATCCCCACACACCTCCCTCACTCCCCCACTATCTCCCTCACTCCCCCACCACTACTTCCTAAAGCTAAACGTATCAGTATATAGATTTTCATTTGAGGTGTTTCAGAGAGTTGGATCATATTACCAATTTTTTCCGTAATAGCATTTTGTCGTCGGTCATATTGAGTTATGGGTCCAGATTTTGTAAGATTATTACGGTATTATTATTTTATCTTAACTGGTGGTAAAATAACGTAATGAGTATTTAATTGGCGGTGAAATAACATAATGGGTATTTAATTGGCGGTGAAATAACATAATGGGTATTTAATTGGCGGTGAAATAACATAATGGGTATTTAATTGGCGGTGAAATAACATAATGGGTATTTAGGGTTTTGATGATTATATTGATGCATCAGAGTTGACTTTTATTATTTGAATCATTGTTTAATTGGGTTGTTTACACTAGTTCTCTAATCATTAGTTCAAGGAGAAGAAATATCGTTAATAGCATCTCCCAATACAACTTTTCCAATCCGGTAACTCTTAAAAATATTTGTGTTCGTTCAATTATCCTATAGAGACTATATCCTTAACAAGAGTAATATATTGGATTAAGTTAACTAGACTATATTTGGGTGATCTTTTCCCTTATGCTTACGTGTGTTGGTCGGATATATAGCGAGGAACGTGTTTTGTCGCGGGGAACGTGTATGTCGCGGGGAACGGGTCTTGTGTCGCGAGACGTGTCTCGTCGCGGGAAACGTGACTTGTGTCGCGGGGAACGTGTCTCGTGTCGCGGGAACGTGTCTTGTGTCGCGGTGAACGTGTCTCGTGTCGCGGGGAACGTGACTTGTGTCGCGGGGAACGTGTCTTGTGTCGCGGGGAACGTGTCTTGTGTCGCGGGGAACGCGTCTCGTGTCGCGGGAACGTGTCTTGTGTCGCGGGGAACGTGTCTCGTGTCGCGGGGAACGTGTCTCGTGTCGCGGGAACGTGATTTGTGTCGCGGGGAACGTGTCTCGTGTCGCGGGGAACGTGTCTCGTGTCGCGGGAACGTGTCTAGTGTCGCGGGAACGTGTCTAGTGTCATTTGCGCTAATAGACGACTTGGCAGCTGCTGGGGGTGGGGGGAGGATCACGACTAGCGGCTCAACTGTGTTTATTTACGTGTGGTATTTGCTCTGACGGCGCCATCTTCCTGTTGCTATATTTTTTAATCGCGTGTGTGTGTGTCAGAGCTGGGCACCACACCGCTCTATCTTACTACTACACACCAGCGTGACCCTGCGTGGCACTGTACCTATATATGAGTGGTGGGAGTCTAGGAATGATGAAGTGTGTGTGGATGAGACCTTGTTTTGTAGCTGTGTGGGGAGGGTCTGTGAACGTTTCTGTGTGTGTGATGGGACTTAGTTTTTGTAGCTGTGTGGGGAGGGGCTGTGAACGTTTCTGTGTGTGTGATGGGACCTTGTTTTTGTAGCTGTGTGGGGAGGGGCTGTGAACGTTTCTGTGTGTGATGGGACCCTTGTTTTTGTAGCTGTGTGGGAGGGGCTGTGAACGTTCTGTGTGTGTGAGATGGGACCTTGTTTTGTAGCTGTGTGGGGAGGGGCTGTGAACGTTTCTGTGTGTGTGATGGGACCTTGTTTTTGTAGCTGTGTTTGGAGGGGCTGTGAACGTTTCTGTATGTGTGATGGGACCTTGTTTTTGTAGCTGTGTTTGGAGGGGCTGTGAACGTTTCTGTGTGTGTGATGGGACCTTGTTTTTGTAGCTGTGGGGAGGGGCGGTGAACGTTTCTGTTTGTGTGAGATGGAACCTTGTTTTTGTAGTTGTGTGGGGAGGGGCTGTGAGCGTCTCTGTGCGTGTGTGTGATGAGAGAGAGACATGACCTAACCATCGTGTATGCCGTGACCCAACACCATATTTACAACACCAAACGACCACGTAGCTTTATAATCAGATTTTCTTTTTCTTACAAGATTTCGAAGTTAAAAGAAAAATTGTTCTAGAACATTTTGTTGAACTACGACAGATGAGCTAAACGTTGCTGACTATATCTCGTGTTGCACTACTGTATATCTCAGGTGGGGGAATATCACTGGGTTCTTGGGGGTAATCTCAGGAGTTTATTTCACCTTGAGATTAACCACGCTAACCTAACTTAACCTAGTTCTATGTTGCAGCTTTTTGGATAGATTAGAACTTTCTTCAACTATTCAAGCTATTTTATTGCAACAGAGGAACTAACTGTTTTTATTAATTGTTTAATAAATGTATAGAATTTCTCATATTTCTTTTCCATGTTGTTTAAAACTGGCTTTAAGGAAATCTGATGCTGATTTCCCACCATCGATCGCTGCCTCCTGGATTGACGTCATCGTTGTCAGCCTCAGGTGGTTATGTTATAGTTACGATGCCTGGTGAGGCTCCTGTAATTTTGCGTAAAAATACCCAATAATATTAATAATACTAATCCTAATAATAATAATGATAATAGAGATAATGAAAGTAATAATAAATAGAAAACATTAGAAATGAAAAAAAAATTCACAAGAAAACGAAAATAAATATAATAACAAATAACGAAGGCAAGAGAAAACAATATCTAGTAATGAGGGCCACTGATCATAACACGAGAATTATAACTCATAAAAGACACCCTAAGACCCGCCATTAAGCTGCCTGTGGGATATCTCTCGAGTCTTCCATTTTATTATATTACTCGTAGACGTAACGCCCATTATCATCCTGCACAATTAAAAAAAAAGTCATCATCTTGCACTGGGGCGGCCTCTTCACCGTTGACATCAGATTTGCATTTTTTTTATCATTATCAAAACAACAGACTATTATTTTATCAATTTAGGCACAACAGACTAATATTTTGTCAATTTAGAACCAACAGACTACAGCTACACAGATTTTCAGCTAAGATGAAATTTACGTTATGGTGGAATAGCTTAATTTACAGATAAAGTAAAGAAATGTACAGTAGTTACTTTATACTGAAATTATAATACGTTTTTATTGATCATTGCTGTTTATGAATTTTTGGGAACTTTAGAGAGGCTCCCTTGTCCGTTACTCTTGTTGATCATGTTGACATATAGCGGAGACCAACTGGGTGATAATGGCAAGTTACCGGTCACTTGTCTTGTTATAAATGTCGAGTAAGTTGCCCGGATGTCGGTTTTATAGCACCGGACATGTTATGCACTACCTGACCGGACTCGTGATGACCGGCTGGGGAGGCGAATGTCCCTTGTTAGCGGTCCTCCGGCGAATATTTTTCCTCCGCAGTGGAGCCAATTTTCAGCTTTCCTGATTGGTTCGCACAGCATGACGTCACCAGGTTGATTTATAAACATTATCTTTATGAATTTACTTCTCTTTAGTTACGATAAGTCATCTTCGGGTAATTTAGGTTACATAACTTAGATTCGAATAGGTTAGGTTAGGCATGTTTGGCCAGAAGTTGGATTGGGTTATATTGGGTCAGGAAATGATAGCAGAACCACAGAAAAAGTTTACAGACGGTGATATAGAATAGGTTACGGGAGGCTAAGTTAAACTGGGATAGGTTAACATAGAAAATGGCCTTTGTTGTGTAGCTTTGTAAAAGACCCTAGCCAGCCGCCAGGTCCTGGGATGTGCATTTTTTACTGTCAGCCGCTCCCCGTACAGCATTAAACGTGTGTGGTGGTCGTTCCTCTGTTTATAAAAACGTGTTTGGTTAGCGTTCCTGTTGGTTTCAAGAACGTGTGTATGGTGAACGCTCCTCTGGTTTGAAGGGCGTGTGTGATGAGCGTTCCTGTTGGTTTTCTAAGAACATGAGGTAGTCGTTACTGCGGGTCATACACGACAAGGACTGGTTCAGTATGGTATATGGCAGGAGTGATGGGGAGGGGTCACCTTTAGTGCCTCGTTCTTCCACTTCATAGTAATAAATAGTAACAAATAACACGTGATATATGTTGTGGTTTCTTCAACTACCTGGGTTATTAAGCACCGTTCACTATACTTAGGTGTAGGTGCAGGACGGTCGACAATAATACTGTATTAAAAAATCGTATGGACGTAAATTCTCACAAGTGATCTCTTAAACTATAGCTTAAAGCTTTTTGTACATTCGATTATTTTAGGTCACTTATTTGAAATATGTACACACTCACTCAACACTTCTCGAACGCTATAAGCACTGTGTAATCTGACAAAATAAACGATAATTCTGAAACCATTCCGAGATGACAAGCTCCATTCTGCTCATCCTCACATCCATCATGCCCAGGCTGTTGGAGAATTTTTTGTTGAGAGAAAATATTGTGGTAAATATCGAAAGATATTTTTTAAAGAAGTGAAGTGGTATCGACTCACGTGCGTCTTATCATTCGTTTTTGCAGGTTCGTCTTACACCCCCACCCCCACCCTGCGTGTTCCTGCTGATATGAGGTGAAGTAGCAGCAGCAGCAGCAGAAACAAGAGCAAATAATCAAAATCAATAACATCAGCAACAGCGGTTTAAACACTGCACTACAGGAACACCAGCAACATCAATTAAAAAAAAGATAAAAGGAACAACATCTCCAATAACAATATTAAGAATTTTAATAAAAAAATAAACGATTCGTAACAAAAGAAGTATTTTATAAAGAAGTAGACCGAGTTGCAACAGCACAACCAACGTCATCTGTAAGACGAGGAGACTGTTGTCATCACAGCCCAGTCGTCGGTGTAAACAAGGTATGTGTAGCCATCATTCTCACAGGTTCACAACACTGGAGGGACAGTGGTCAGTGTAAACAAAATCAGTTTTTGGTCATTGTTTATACTGATTCATAACTCTGACACAAGAGGGCTATTTGTTTACTTGTCATCGCAAATATTGTTGACCATTTTTTTACTTGGTATTGTTGTATACTAGGTTGAAGGATAGTGATATAACACAGGTGGTTTGGTTCAAGAGCATGTGACGGTTGCATTGTCCTCTACATTGGCTTTCAGAGTTCACGTAGACGCTTTCACTGAATTTCCTTCCTTATGTATTATTTTTAAACTTAACGAACGAAGCAGGTAACATACTACAGAAAAACAGGAGCGATATTATAAGGACATATTGCCCGCCAGTCCAGGGCATAAGACACTCACACCGGCAAGAAGACGTTAATAAACAAACAACGTACCGCCACATTTATATTACTTTAGTGTCGTGTTGAACATCGCCCGCTTCACCACAACATAAATATCGCTCCTTCAATAGCTAGCAAGAACAGTGCCGGATTTAAACCTGTGGAGGCCCATGGGCAGCCTCTTTGTGGAGGCCCCCTCATTATAACTAACACAAGAGGGTGGGGTGGCGAGTGAAGCGAGCCTAAACATCTGGGAGTTCCGGGGGGCGCTGTAAGACCCCCGGAAAAATTTTGAAATTTGAACACTTCTTTGGAGAAGTTTGAAGCCATATGCAGTTATATTGAGGAAATTAGAACATTGAAAATTTTTTGATTAACTGTATATTTATTGATAGTGTACAAATTCCCAACACACACACACACAAAAGTGAGACATGACTGGAGTCATTCATGTGGTTTCAAGTCGACCAGTCCTGATATAGCTACTACCGCACATGTGGAGGCCCCTGGGCAGCTGCCCACTTTGCCCACTCCTGAATCCGGCCCTGAGCAAGAATGGCCTAGTCCTGTGTCTTATTTTTTTTAATAGTTGTCGGTTATAAGTAAATTTACAGAAATAATCGAGTTTGGTTGTGTTGTGGTGACAACATCAGGTAGTGTAAAACGTACTATGATATAACATAAATAGGCAGTGCTTAACTAACGCGCACACTCATGATGTTAGTAACACAGTTTGAATATAGTTTTATGAGGCTATGACACAACTTAAATTCGTAGACCTTTGTTATTTACTTATACCATTGAATTAATGCAAATACTACCCTCGATTACTATTCACTGTATATTCAAAAGTGTATCTTAATATTCAAATTAAAAGTGTGTCGAGTGGTGTAAATATTTTGAGCTACGGTAGTTTGACCCCGTCTACTATGCCTCGCGTGGCTGTATGGGGTTGTCGCTGCTTCACTGATGACTTTTTCTGACATGTATGATCCTTGAGATTTAGTGATAACCAGGGATTAGTTTCAGTTCATTTCCATTATTTTCACACCAGTCACCAGGTCAAGTAAATTGTATATTACCCCGTAAACCACTGATCATTTTCAACCCGTCTCGAAGCTCCTCTGTCCACTTCAACCAACTAACGAAAGTGATGTGCACCGTTGATATGAGCTCTTTTAAATATAACTTCAACAATATTCCTTTTGTTTTTGGAGATTATAAATTCTACGCCATCGCATTTGCACTGAGACCGGAATCGGACATATCCTGACGCAAATTGTCCGACAGTTTAGTATGGAAAAAGAGGGCAAGGAATGACCGGTTGCATTACTTCACATTCACATTGTCACGCCGGATTATGTCAGAATCTGCAGTGGGTTATTCCTTGTCTGTTTTTATTCAGGCGAAACTGTTGGACATTTTACGTCATAATTGTCCAATTTCGGCCTTAGTGTGAACGCTCGCCCAGTCAGGAATGTTTATCAACCGTCCATTTGAGAATCTGGACCCAGAGACACTTAAACCACGATCTGTGTGAGAGTTTTATCTCTCTCTCTCTCTAAACTATACCATTGATGTAAAACTGTTGTTACCGCCTGATGTGTGAAGATTCACTGGCCCTCTCTTCCTTACCCTCAGCGCCTTCAGGATGTCTTCAGGCAGTCGTCGGGCGTCGCAATTCCAGCAGGAGAAGGAGGAGGATGTGCCCCAGTGGATCCCCGGGCTGGGCAACGACAAACCCAAGCCCAGGACTCTCGGCACTTCCTTCTTCGGCTACGTCCCGGACGCCTTCTGCGAGAAAACTCCATTCCTCCCCTCAGAGAAGCAGGCCAAGGAGGTGAGTGTTAAGCATGGGGCAATACTTATTGGGTGGGGAGACTCATTGGGTGGGGGAGGCACATGGGGTGGGGAGACGGGAAGTAGGGAGACATGGGGTGACTTGATTTGAGGGAGATGATTCATTTTATTATCTTATGGTGATGTATGACTGTATAAGGTGGTGTATATGATGAGCATGGAGGCGCACTCTTATGATGTGAAGTAGGAGATATTTCATGTACAGTAAGAGATGGAAACATTGCTACGTTTATTTCAGTCTCGTCACAGGTTTAGTGACTGATGCGTTTCTTATTCAGCTAAGAAAGAAAAAATTCTCTATCTCCACATCTGAGCCATGATATACACCTGACACAGGCTAATTACTTAATAAATATTTTGCCTTGAAATGGACATCACTTATCATGCATTTTCCGAAGATTTTATGATTTTATTTACCGATATAAATATTGTTCGTTGACTCACGCAATATAGCTACCATTCGACACTGGCCCTCGAGGGATGAAACCAATTTCAGACAGGGCCCATTTGACCAGACCTCTCCTCAACTGCTCAGTGTGGTGCACTTGTGTCACGACCATGAATCACGTTCGCCCCAACCTCTAAGTTAAGTAGGGATTGTGGAAACATCTAAAATGATTAACAAAATGCTGATAATTGAAAACCAGATTTGATACCGTGTTTGTTACTGCCTGTTGCTTGATGATGGCACGCCAAAATATACCCGAGGTTTCTTATCCTAGCGTGCATTGGCAACCACGGAAAATACTTAAGGACCACTCACATCTCCCTGGGCCCCTCCCTCCCTTACTACACCGCTGCTAGAATTTAAGACGTAAAACTGTGTCACCGCAGATAATGGCCCACCCGAAAGGAACTACAGTATATAGCTTATATTTTTACTACCATAATATCTTTATAATCAGACTTCGAGAAACAGGCTTTTAAAAGCTTTCTCGGCTGTCCGTGGTGACTTGACTTCCTCTTTATCATTGCTGTACTTGCAGTGTTTACAAATTGAGCCAATGTGAACTCGTGTGACAATATTACTGAGTAAATATCTATTTTTCTCAATAGAATTTAGGCAGTCTGACCGAGGGTAGTATATCGGTTCTCGTGACATTCCTAGTATAATAAGTTCATGGTCATTTAATGGCAGACGTCGTGTCGTGTTTTAAAATTCTGCAAATGTATAACAACATTCTTAACAACCTAGTTATATCCAGAGTTTGTGACAGTGCTGTAACTTACCTTCACGGTCCAACACATGTGGTTGAGTGGATGACTGATTTTCGTTCACAAGAATTTTATAACGTTACAGATTTTGAATAGTTTACGAATTATATGTGACTACTGGGTACACTGACCATGTGTGTTACTGTCCACCATTTAAACCCTTTTCTAGAGTAACTCATATTTATTGGCTTAACCATAATTTAATGAGAATGAACTAATATGAACAAGCACGGAAACATTTAAAGTACGCCTTTTATGTGCCGCTTTACGTTATCAATTTTTTTTTTTTTCGTAGAAAATGGTCCCTCGTCCTTGTATACAGAGAACTACAATGTACTGTTGTTTATGAAATACCTCGCCCATGTTTATCTAATTACGAATATATCGGCGGGACAATGATTCAAAATTGGCCAACACTAATCCTCATTAAGCAACTGAGGATCTAGCACATTCCCACACTGTTAGGCTCCGCCCACTTGAGTGAGACTCAGGAGTGTTGTGCCCTTGGCTGCTTACTTCGCTCTCAACTTCACTAGGTAAGTTTTGAGTGTTTTTGAAGCTTTCAATATCTCAGATAGTTTATTACGTACTTCTGTTTGATGTTTAGAAAACGGTGTTATTAAGAAAACTGTTAATGGCATCACAATTTATACTTTCACTTGAAACGATGAGCATAGTGTTGCGTTCATTAAGGTGAAGGTGCGAGGAGGAAGGTCCGGGTGGTGGTGGTGGTGGTGGTACAGTATAATATGTAGGCTGTGGTTAACTCATGTTGTATTCCTTTCGACCAATAGAATTACACGCTATGCTTTTCATATCAACATGTTGTGGTGATTGTGGTTATAATTCCTTCCAGTAGAGGCAGGTAGGTAGGTACAGTATTTTTTCTTGGCATCTCCCGTGAGCCAGGTGGAGTGGGTGGTGGTGACGGTGTCAACAAGGTGCAATATTGGATGCACTTCCTATGTGTACCTAGGTGTCTACAGTCACACACTGCTCATACATCGTCACCTTACGTTAAAAGAACACACATTTTAGATATCATTAAAGATTTATTAATAAATGATAAGAATAACAACAAGTATAGTTAGTTTTACAACATTAGAAACAACGAATTATCGAATGTGTTTTTTTTATTCGGTGACATGTTGATTTATAGCAAACAACCGATTATATATTTTTTCCTTATGTGAACAAAATTATTAAACTGTTTCTTGTATAAAAAAGTGGCAGATGATATGAAAAAACGAGTGACCATTGTGCATAATGATAATAGAAAATTTAATAATAGTGATGTGATGTTATATTTTAATATCAAGATATAATACTTTACAATCGTCTGTAAATAATGCATATACCAGTGAAATTGATATTGAAACAGTTTATTTAGCCAGAAAAATGCAGACAGTGGACAATAACAAGAATATTAACGCGGCTGAGTCAAGTGAGAGCCTGAACCTTCTTTGTGGCACTTGATAATTATATACTGTACATTTATCTCAATGAATTTTTTTTTCATATGGCGTAATGTGGCTTTATTGTGATGGTTTAAAAAGATAATTATCCAAGTCAAGTATCCAACAATAATATAAAAATATCTTTTGACTTACTGGTCATTTTTAAATTACCTTGTAAGATCATTCCGTAAGAACACCCCCTGTCAGAGCCTGATCCACTGTGTTCTGAGGCAACAATAATATCCTTTCGTAATAAGTACATAGACCTGAGGAACAGTGTACGGGCACCATTTTTTAATTGAATTGAATTGTAACAGTTTATTTAGCCAGAAAAATACAGAAACAGAGTGGATAATAATAATATTAACATGGCTGAGCCAGTTGAGAACCTGAGCTCTCTTTGAGGCACCTGATATATACTATACATTTATCTCAAGGAAGTATTATGTAACATTTAGTATCGTCTGGAATATTACAATAGCATGGTAGTTACCACGGTTATCACTTCAATATTTATTTATTTTATTTTTTATTATTTTTATTTTTTTATTTTTTATTTTTTTTATTTTATTTTTTTATTTATACATACATATACACATACCTACACATATACACACACACACACACACACACACATATATATATATATATATATATATATATATATATATATATATATATATATATATATATATATATATATATATATATATATATATATATATATATATATATACATATACACACACATACACATACACATACACATATACATATAAATTAGAGTGGAATTTAAAAACATAAGTATAATGGGGGAGCAGTACAACCTGGGTTGTGCAGTAATAAGGTTGAACAAGAGGACAGAGCTTTCAGGATTATGTCTAGTTGGCAATTATGTGTATTGCAATGGTAATTACTTATTTATTTACATGATAATTTCCGATAAAACGGATTTGGTGGTACAATAAAAGCAGGTACTGTAAATATAGTAAGTGTTACAAGAAATATTAATACTTCGACAATAGATATTTTTTTAGAGATGATTTAAAGGAAGGGAGCGTAGTCTTTGCTCGGATGGGTGGGGGTAAGTTGTTCCATACCTTCACACCATGATATTTTATGGAGGTCTGGGACTGAGAGGAGCACATGGGGGGTGGTCTTATTAGCTCTGGGTGCCTTAAGTTGTATCTCTGATTATTCCGGAACTGGAAGTAATTATTGTCAAGCAAGTGATTGATAGATTTGTAAACAAAAAGGGCACAGCAGTAAGTGTTAATATCTTCGAATTTTAAAAATTTCAATATAGCAAATTTTTCGTTTGTGTGATCTGTTTTTTTCAAGTAGTCATTGTCCGTACATCTCTCTTTTGTGCAGTAACCAGAGATTGTGTTTTTGAAGAGCCAGAGGCCCCCCCATAGTGTGTGACAGTGTATCAGGTGTTGGTAAACAAGATCATGATAGATTTCTTTCATTGCTGTGAGAGTGAGTGACTGTCGAGTGTGATACCGCACTGTTTATTGATTTTACTGTGTATGGCTTGTATGGCTTCTTATTTAGGATTAAGAAGCTCACCCTTACCCTTGACCCAGTGGTTGCTTCGTAAACTACCTACACTAGTCACTTGGTTTACCTGGACGAACCCAAAACTAGGGCCCCTGACAAAGCTTTCGGAATAAACTTTGGATTCACTCATTTCGCTCATTATCTCGGCAGGCGCCTCAGTTAGCGTCTGTGTTGGCATTCTTCTGCATACGGCGTTTGAGTTTGAGTGATCTTTGTGTTTTAATAATGTTAACTTCGACAAAATTCGTAGTACTGATGATATTTTTTTAACAATTGAGTTAGTGATGTTTGATGGTGTTTAGGTCATTCTGATTAGCACGCTTACGTCGTCGGTAGAGCCTCAGCCCTCAGCCACCACCCACGCCCCCCACCCCTACACACAATTGAACTCGCCACCATCATCCCATCATGTTACCAATCATGTCATCGTCTTCGTCTCTCTCTCTCGCTTTTGTGTTTTTTTCACCGACTCTCACTCTTGTTTCATGCGCCTTAAAGACTCTCCTCCTAACACACCCTTCTCCTAACACACCCTCCTCCTAACACACCCTCCTCCTAGCACACCCTTCTCCTAACACACCCTTCTCCTAACACACCCTCCTCCTAGCACACCCTCCTCCTAGCACACCCTCCTCCTAGCACACCCTCCTTCTAACACACAACACACCCTCCTTCTAACACACCCTCCTCTTAACACACCCTCCTCCTAACACACCCTCCTCCTAGCACACCCTTCTCCTAACAC